CTTGTTTACATTTTGGGGGCAGGGGGCATGGGGGCAGGGCCCATTTCTTCCCCTAGACTCCCCTCTCTTGGCCACAACTCCTCTTAGCGCAGGAAAATACCTCTAGTTCCCTCGTTCATCTGAAAATGGTAATCAGAAATGACATTGTGTCACTTCCTCTCACCATTTTGAGATGGCCTTTGATGAAAACAGAAGTATTTGGAGGGTAGGTGAAAAGTCAGGTACTTTTCTGTTTTTATGCACAGGGCTGGGTTTCTGCACAGTCTGCAGAAAGTGACTGAAAATACAAAGAGGGTGAGAGCTGTAGAAAACTAGCAAGGATCTGCAAAAGAGGGCTTCAGTGACTTCAGGTGGCCTGTTGGGCATAGGCATGTGAGAGGCAATTTTGGAAAGATTTTGTTCCTTTTCCTACATTATTTTAGCTGGACATTTCCTGATCAATTTGGGGAGTGTAGATCCCCTGCTGGATCTAAAAGTGCCCAGAGAGGGCCAAAAACATGGCAAAATTGCCCTCTCACATCCCTGAGGGTGCTCGGGGGCAATTGTTCTCCCCAGAATAATGTGAGGGCCCTAGGGGTCCACAAGAGGCACATAGGTGGCCCATTCCCCTTGCTACTTTAAATAATAAATAACATTGTTGCCCCACATAAATCTTTCCAACTGTGCACACACCCCAGAAGTACTGAAGCCCGGGTCAAGCCAGCGAGAATTCCACAGGTTTTGTGATTTGGAACTGCAATGATGCTTGATGCCAATGTGTTGACTCTGTGGGTCTCTGTTTGTCAGATAATGCGATACCTATCAAGTCGTGGTTCAGTGATCCCAGTGACACGGCGCTCCTTAACCTGCTCCCCATGCTCGATGCCTTGAGGTAAATAAAGCGGAGAATAGTGGGCCAGAAGGATAGGATCTGGTTTGGCATGGTATGATCAAGAAGGGTGTGTGCAAGTATGTGCCTTTTCCCCTGCAGCACAGGGAAGTGGGTGAGTTTGGGGCCCAGTTTCCTGCATCTGAGATCAGCTGTGGGATGTACAGAGTACCAAAAAGTAAAATAAAACCAGAAGCAGCAAGAAATCCATTTCTGATGGATAGGAATGGGTCTATTTTGGAGGCTCAGTGAGTGCCAATGCTGAGGTTATTCTGATACTGAGTCTAAACTTGGCTTTTTATTAGTGCCTTTAGAGCATAATAGATTTTATCCATTTTGCACATCAACTATGGTTTGGCATTATTTTGTTTTAACTGATTTTAAACTCTCTGGTTTTAACTGATAAATGAATTCACATATATTTTAGTCCTTTAAATTATTGTCATTGTTTATCATTTAAAATTGATGTTATTGTAAGCTGCTCTGAGATAGAGGTAGAATCAACACAACCTAGTGGTTTGAGAATGGACTACAGCTTAGGAGACCAGGGTTTGAATCCTCGCTCAATAAAACCAACTGGATGACATAGGCCAAGGCAAGTCACACTCTCTCAGCCTCAGACAAATGCACAGGCAAAACTCCTTTGAATAAATCTTGCCAAGAAACCCCATTATATGTTCGCCTTAGGGTTGCCATAAGTAAAAAAATGATTTGAAGTCACACAACAGCAACAACCTAGTTCTGTGGATATAGGGTGGGATTTATATTTAATAAATAATTTTAATGAGTTCTGAATGGTTTCATCTATGGATTGTTTAACTGTCTTTAAAATAACTTTTATATTTAAAAAATTATTCTGTAACTGTTTAATTTGAGCCCTGAATCCCATAATTGGAAAGAAGGTGGGATAAAAATTAGTAACAATGATAGTTATTGTATTAGTGATGACAAACAAGTGGTTGCATCAACACTGCAGAATTAATGCAGTTTGACATTGCTTTAACTACCATGACTCCATGCTGTGGAATTCTGGGATTTGTAGTTTCATGAGATCTCTGTCAGCTCTGGTGCCACAACAAATTACAAATCCCAGGATTCTGTAGGATGGAACCATGATTGTTAAAACTGTGTCAAACTGCATTAATCCTGCAGTGTGGCAGCAGCCAGTGAAGGAAGAATTGCAACCCATGTAAAAAGGTGAACTGTTGGAAGAGTTCCAAGGAGAGTCAGTTCATCCTTTTAGGGGACAGAGAAACGGCATCCGGAGAGTCTGAACTGGTCGAGGACCACAGAAACAGCCATAGAGGGCCACAGTTTGCCTGCCCTTGCTGTGTGGTGGGTAAGCTATGAGCCTCGTTGCGCTGTACAGTCATTGAAGTGCTAGAACTGGCTCCATCGAGGAAAGGTGGGGAGAGATGTCAGGTAGAGAAATGGGAAGGCTGCATGTGGTTTGTTCTCCTATGCACTGACTCACTTGCCTCCTCCCTGCAGGTTCACAGCGGATGTCCGGTCGGTGCTAAGCCGGAACCTACACCAACATCGCCTTTGGTGACGGCGGTTTCTCCTTTCTTCAGGGTGTGGCCCACAACCTCTGCCTTATCCTGCCATCATGGACTCCTGCCCAGCCCCTGCGCCCACCGCTCTTGCTGCTCGGACTCCAACGGATGCATCTGGACTCAGCCAACTTGGAAGTGGGGGGGAAACCAGTCAGGAGGACGTGCTCCGGTCTCCCCCTACACCTGAGCCCATGGGCAGGTTTTGCCTCTCCCACCATCAGCTTGGAGCGACAGCCAGCACTGCGGAGACTTGGCGGGGACTTAAGCGGGGCCGCAAGCAAGCGAGTGGGCCCATGCCGTTGGCACGACACCAGCTGTTACTTGGGTGGGTGGGGGGCAGGTGCACAAGAAAGGGGGTGAAACAAGCTAGCCACACAGAGGAGTGTGAGGGACACTTGTGGTGAGACGAGGCTGCATTTCTCAGTGGAAAGACCGAGCTCCCTGTACAAAGATCTCAGTTCTACTGCTCTTTTATTTTTCTTCTTTGTTGTCATTTCCTCCCCATTCCCCTCTTACTCTAGAGAAAGATGGAGAGCGAGGAAGAGAGGCCCTTTCACCTAATAAGTTCCGTTTAGAGGATCGGTAGGACTGGCCTTTGATTTTTGTTCCCCCAAGCATCTTATAATTCCTTCCTTCCACCCCACTTACTTTGTGGAATTCATTTTTTTGTTATTTCCTCCCACCCCAATCTGTGCTGAGGGAGATCTCCCCTGCCCATTGTTTTCCAGGCTGCCCTTGTTTTTGTTTCCCTTTGACTTTTGGGATGGGGAGGACTGGAATGATGAGATATTATAGCCTTGAACTGAGGTGGAAAGAAATTACACCTAAATTGACTCTCCAGAGTTCTTATTGTCAATGGGGAGGCTTAGACTGATTCGCTTGCATTGGCTAGCTGAGAGAAAATGGTTCTAAGTTCTCCTTCTCCACTCTTCCTCCCAATTCTGGTTTGTATCTCAATGTCCCTTGTTCCTCATTCCAGGACTGGGAATGACCATAGCTGCAGGGAGGAGCTGGTATCTATAACTGCAGCTAGTTGGGCCTAGTGGTGTTTTCCAAACTTTGGTCCTTCGGGTACTTTAGACTTCCAACAACCAGCAGCCCTAGCTGGCTTGGCCAACAGTCAGACATTCTGGGAGCTGAAGTTTAAAGCATCTGGAGGTCTGACGTTTGGGAACCATTAGGGTAGGGAATGTGGGTGGGTGATAGATTCTTTTGTACTGGGACTGGAGTAGTTTCTGCTTCTGAACCTACTCCTATGGAGTTTTTGGGCTGCAGTGGGCTTGGATCCAAGAAGGTTGGAAAAGGGAAAGCCATGCCCGCATCAGTTGTTACATCAGTGTAAATAGTCAACTCAGAGGCTGTGCCTTTCAGAGGGAACTTTTCCTCCATGAGTGTTTGAAGAGCATGCTGGGGGGCAGCAGCAGCAGCACACTGGCATTGCAGGTTTTGCCGCAGTGCATATTTCTCCTCCTCCAGGAACGAAGAGGCCTGGAAAGGCACACAGGAGCTCCTCCTCCAGCCCAGGCTTCCTCTCCAGAAAGAAAACCCATGGCTGGAGGTGGAGTCTGCATGCCCTTGCAGGCTGCTCCATCCTGGTCTTCCTCTCCACTCTTCTCCTTTTCCTCCTCTGCCCTGGTCTTTTTCCTTGGAGAGGAAACACTGGGCTGGAGCAGCCAGGAAGGGTCCAACCGGGTGTCACTCCTCTTCTGGTAGTCACCCGGTGTGAGCCATACCCCCTGCACTCCCCCAGTGGCACCACTGTTTGAAGACAACTGTTTGTTGTGTGCCTGACCCAAAACCAAGTGGCAAACACTGCTCTCCAGCTGTTGTCCTGCTAAGTCTTCAGCTGCCTCAGGTCTTGGAGTGACCCCTCTAAACCAGTTGCTCCTCTTCCAGCTGCCCTGCCCTGTTCTGGGGTCGTTGCTCAGTATTTCTGCCCTTGCAAGGGTTGAGGGGCAGAGCTGCAGGGGAGTCACAGTTGCCTTGAAGTCTGGAGCAGCTGCAGAAAGGAAAGCATGGAAGGAAAAGACAAGATGCAGAAGTGGGGACCGTTTGTGACCACAGGCAGATGGGAGTTGCAGTATGCCCCAGCGGGAACTCTCCATTCCTGTCTGTCTCTTGTCTGCACTGCAAATAGGAATTGCCAAACGATGTCTCCCCTGACTTTTTAAATTGCCCTGATTTTAAATGTCTGTTTTCTTTCCTGCATTGTTGCAGGCATTTCAGTCGGGTGGTCAATCTGCTCCAGGTTTTGCTATGAATTTCAAAAGAGCTATCCATGGTGCTGAAAGTCTTGGTGGGGCTAGAATTCAGCACCTCAGACAGTTCCTTTACAGTTCAGGCTAAAGCCCAGAGTGGATTTACTGCCCTTTTTTGCCTCCATAAAGGTAAAGGTCCTGTTTCTTACCCTTACCCTGAGTTTCCTCTTCTTGTTGTTGTGTGCCTTTAAGTCATTTCTGTTTATGGTGATCCTGTCACAGGGTTTCCTTGGCAAGTTTCCTTGGAAGTGGTTTGTCATTGCCATCCTTAGGGCTGAGAGGGTGTGACTTGCCCAAGGTCACCCAGTGGGCTTACATGGTCATGCCGGGATTCGAACCCTGGTCTTCAAGAGTTGTAGTCTCAATGTTCAAACCTCTATGCCACAATGGCTCTCTGAGTTTCCTCTTTCTTTCCCCCGAAATACTTCTCTTAAGATTGGACACAGCCTTATGTGCTCTTGATAGCAATCATGCTGTTGGATTGCAACTCCCATGAGCCAGGTTGGTTGTAGAATGCTGGAGTCCAACCGCATGGAGTGTGGCATGATTCCCCTCTCAACGGACGAAGGAAGAGTGGGATGCGTGGTTTGCTGTTGTCATCTCAACTTTCCCCATCTTGAGCATGTTGAGCCCGGGAAGGTGCTGGCTTTTGGACTACAATTGCCATGATCACCCTTTGTAATGATGGGAGTTGTAGTCTAGCCCTTTTGGCAAGCAGCACCAGAGAGTCCTGGGCATGCTGAGTCCCAGAAAGGGCTTTTGGACCATGATTGCCCACCAGGATGACAGGAGCTGCAGTCTAGCCCTTTTGGCAAGCAAAGAGAGACCTCCCTTTTGAGAATGCTGCCTCCCAAAAAGAGGGCTGGCTTTGGATTGCAACTGCCATGGTTTTCCACCAGGATGATGGGAGCTGCAGTCTAGCCCTTTTGGTAAGCACCACTTAGAAGAGAGTCCAGAGAATGTCGCTTCCCGGGGGCTTTAGACTATAAATGCCATCATCCTCCACCAGGATCATGGGAGCTGCAATCTAGCCCCTAAAAGAATCCTGAGTCCCAGGAGGATGCTGGCTTTTGGACTACAACTGCCATGACTACCGGGATGATGGGAACTGCAGTCTAGTCCCTAAGAGAGTCTTGATAACGTTGCTTCCCAAGAGGGCTTTGGGCTGCAGCTGCCATGACGGTCCCCCAGGATGATGGGAGCTGCAGCCTGGCCATTTAGGGTTGGAGGAAGTCTCTCCAAAGCAGTGAAATCTCGCCCCGCCCATTTCTTCAATCGTCACGTGACCAGCCCCGCCTCCCCTACTTGGCGGAGGACGCACGTGACAATTCCTCTCCGCTGACGTCAGGCACATGACGAAACGCTTCACCGCCGCGCCTGTTGCCCTGATCCTTCCGCCAGTTCCTGTTTTCGTCGCTCGTTTCTCTCCCGTTCCTTAGCGGTTTCTGGCCCTAAGTCGCAGGGAGAAAAACACCCCTCGTTTCTTTTTTTCTCCTCGCAGGCTCCGCTCTTTTCTCCAAAGAGAGGAAGAAATTACAAAATAAGGCCCTGGAACTACTTTGTTTTGGTGTCACTGCCACGCCAGCTGCGCAGGACCGCTTCGTGAATTCCCAGTCGATATAAAGCGGAGTGACCTGGTGTTCGCTCGCTACGCACATTGCGTAAACGTGGCCTTGACGACGTTAAACATCGAATGGCGCGGCTGAGGCGATGCAACCGTTGCTAAAACGGTTGTGGCGCCTCAACCTCACCATGCGATGCTTCACGCAGCCCACCGTTCATATTAATGCCGAACTATATGTGGAAAACGTGTTGACAAACTCCTATGTCTTCAGGAGAGAAAACGTCAACCGCTCTGAGGCCTGACAACACTAACGGCTTTTCCTATTCTAGGACGCCGGTTACGCCTGTTGCGTACCCGCGCGCCACGCTGGGGTCTGGGCAGGGGAAGAAGTTGCGGCGTTTCTGTAGCGACGCCTTACGCCGTGGGCGCAGTGAAAACGAGTCCCGGAGTATCCCTCCGCGCAGGCTGAGAGGGAGGCGGAGGGAAGAAGAAGGCGAGGCTCTGCGCGTGCGCGGTGCGTCTGTTGTGGAGCGGCCGCCGCCGCCTTCGCCTTTTCCTCCTCCTTCTCCTTTTTTTATTTTGACTCAGCCTTGTCATCACCGCCGCCATGAAGTTCGTCTACAAGGAGGAGCACCCTTTCGAGAAGCGCCGCTCTGAGGGAGAGAAGATCCGCAAGAAGTACCCGGATCGAGTCCCGGTGAGGAGAAGAAGAAAAGCCGCTCTGAGGGAAGGAAGGAAGGGGAGGTATCCTTCCGCCGCGGAGGGGAAGAAAAAAGGGCGCCCCTTCACCACCATTTGGCGCCTTTTTAGGGTTCTGAGGGGGGGTCTTGGGTATTAGTTCAGTATTAGTATGAAGGGCGATGCGTGGATAACATTAAGCGTCGAATGGCGCGGCTGAGCCGCCACAGCCGTATTCCTCCCCCCCGCCTCCCTTTTTAGCCCAACCTTTCTCCTTTTAACGCCCCTTCTAGTTCTGGGAAAAAGAGGGCAGATCCCCAAGAAAAACTGATTCAAGTCGTTTTTTAAAAAAATCTCCCCAACTGTATTGCTGGACTGCGGCTCCCATCATCCCCCGCCCTGGACCGTCCCGCGGACGGGAGAAGGGGCCGATGGGAGTTGTAGTAGGCGGGGCAGAACCGCAACTGGAGGGTCGCCCGGGTCCCTCTTCCTTCTCCCTCTCTTCTGACATGGGTTGGACTGCAGCTCCCATCATCCCCGGCCAGCTTGTGTGGGGTGTGTGCATTGTATTTCTTCAAGCCGTTCATGGCGAACCTATCCTGGGGGTTTCTTATCAAGATTTGTTCAGTGGAAGTTTTCCATAGCTTTCCTCCTGAACCTGAGAGAGTGTGACATGCCCAAGGTCACCCAGTGGGGTTTCATGGCCAAGCCAAGATTCGAACCCTGGTCTCCAGAGTCAGCATTGTTGTGTGCCTTCAGGTTCTTAACCGACTTACGGGTTGTCTGGGCAAGTTTCTTCAGAAAGGGTTTGCCATGGCCATCCTCTGCAGCTGAGAGTATGTGACTTGCCCAAGGCCACCCAATGGGTTTCATGGGTGAGCCAAGATTCGAACCCTGGTCTCCAGACTCGTCATTCAATGCTCAAACACTATGCCTGACCAGCCAGTAAGAAGATCCTAAATGGAGGCTTGCTCTGTGGTCTAATGGGTGCCATGGTTGCCAAAGAAATCAAGCTTTTTTGTGTCAGAAATTAGGGGCGACTGCACTGCCCAGCATCCTTGCCACGGATGCGATGCAGCAGATTGAGCCAAAAGTAAACCTTCGCTGGGGTCTCAACACCTCTGAGCCTGATTTATTCTGAGCCCAATTGAGGAGAGAGAAAGCCCTGTTCATTGCAGTGTTGTTGACACCAATGTCAACATATATATATGGCTGAACTCTTAGCTGTCACAGGAAATTTCGTAGAATAGGTCTTCTCTTCACTTCTGTGTTTTTTAGCCAGAGATATGAAGGGATATCCCAGCCAGCAGGGTTATGTTTGAACAATGTTGCAGTCCTCCAGATGTAGTTAGAATCCAGTTCCCAGCAGCCCCTTGCAGAGTTAATGGGGAATGGTGGGATTTGAAAACCAAGAAGGTCTGGGAGGCTTTACAGTTCTGTCTTCTCATATATTTGTTCTTGTTAATATTTATTATTATTATTATTGTTGTTGTTGTTGTTATTATTATCTGCGTCCATGGATCGAGGCAGGGAGTAACAGACCTACAGTTATTAGTATGCGTGGATTTTGCATCCATGGTTGAAAATAAGCAAACCTTCATTTTGCCATTTTCTACAAGGGACACCATTTTACTAAGCCATTGTGTATAATGAGATTTGAGCATCCACGGATTTTGGTATCCAGGGGGGGATCCTGGAACCAAACCCCAGCAGATATCAAGGGCCTATTGCATTTTCATTTCTGCATTCCTGCATTTTTCTGGCCCTATGGGTCAGATTTGTCTTATCAAACAGGAACTGTGTGTCCCATGGAAACAAGAATATCTTTCAATCATTTGTCTTCTATTGCTTTGTCTCCTGCCATAACGGGGAAGGACAAAATGTGGCCCTCTTGATCTTGTTGAACAGCAGCTCCCAGAATTCATCTCCACTCACCACAGTGCTGATGGGATTTGCAACTCAGCATCCGGAGGGCCACAAGACTCCCATTCTTGCCATATCTTGTAGACTCAAAGCAAATGACAGGAGACCCTCCTTTAGTCAACACGTAGGCTTTTTCTCTACATCTGTTGCTGGCGCCATTATACTTTCTTAGGTGCAGGTGGTCAGTTCCCTGCCCCAAGGAATTTCCATTTAATTGGCAGAGAGAAGCCAGTGGACCAAGAGGGAAATACACAGCTGGTTGAGTTTATTCTACTTGGGCCCAGGGCAGGAGGATCTGGGAAACAGGGCAAAAAATTGAAGGAAAAGAGGTGACACATTGTGGGGCTCATTGTTTGCCTTGGCCATTTTATCTCGTCCTTCCTTCCCTCCTCCAGTCCTCCTCCTCCTCTATATTTTTAGGTGAAAGAAGTGGGAAGCAGCCTTGTGTCTGGTGTACAGTCACAGGTCCTGGCCCTGTTTGGGGGGTTTTGAACACGCATGGTAGATTTCCATACATGAAAGTGAAACTTTTTCCAATCCTTGCAACTGTGTTTTCGGAGAAGTGCTTGTGGAGTTTTTGTCTGTTTATTGTGTAGAGAAAGGAAATGTGTTGGGGCTAGAAATGTGGTGCTTGTGTAGCTCCAAGCACATAAGAGGTTAACGGGGGGGGGGGGCATACTTCTACTGGCCCATCCATGTTTCTTCTTCTGAGGGAACCTTAGTTGTGTCCTAGTATTATTGCCTTGGCTGTATTCTTTGCTGAGTCTGTTACCTCTATTTCCCTTGTTGCTGATACACAAATATCAGAAGAATTATTTTATTTCATTTGTATGCCACCTTTCTCCCAGAAAAGGACCCAAGGCAGCTTCAGTAGTATTTCTAGCATGCTTTTGAGCAGCCAAGGCATGTCTTAGTCTGTTCTTTCTCTTATAGCAAGCCCATAAAATAGCTCAGAATTACTCCCTTGTTACAGGTGTGATTTGTTGAGACAGAGTGAGAGTGCACATCATCAGTGCTACTACTACTACTACTAATAATAATAACAACAACAGTAATAAATGGAGCATAGTCACAAGTCCCTGACTGTTGTGAGACACTGGTTCCCATCCCTTGTTGTGTGCCTTCAAGTCATTTTTGTCTTATGGCGACTCTATAATGAGTTTTCTTGGCAAGAGTTGTTCATTACCTTCCCCTGAGGCTGAGAGCATGTGACTTGTCCAAGGTCA